TCTATTTTAGATTATTTCTCAAGAGTAGTAGCTATTTCTAATCAATTAAAAAGAAATAGTGAAAAGTTAGAAGATGTGAGAATAATAAAGAATATACTCCATTCGTTGGATCCCAAATTTGAGCACATCGTTGTGACGATTGAAGAAACTAAAGACTTGGAAGAAATGATGATCGAGCAACTCCAAGGATCATTACAAGCATACGAAGAGAAGCATAAAAAGAAGCATGAGTTTACTGAGCAACTCCTCAAGCTGCAACTCAAGGATATGCATGAAAGCCAATGCAATGATAGAAACCAACATGGCCAAGGCAGAGGTAGAGGCCATGGACGAGGTGGAAGTCGAGGTCGTGGACGAGGCTGGAATTACAACAACAACAATTCTAACAACAACTATGAGAAAGGAGAAAGCTCAACACGAGGTCATGGAAGAATCAATCTGAACTCAAGATATGACAAATCTCAAGTTTGATGTTATAATTGTCAGAAGTTTGGGCATTATGCTTCAGAATGTAGAGCTCCCAACAACAAAATTGAGGAGAAGGCCAACTACGTGGAGGAAAAGACAGATGGAAAAGAAACTCTTCTTCTAGCACGAAAGGAAACTGATGGTGACCAAGCAAATTCCTGGTATCTTGATAGTGGTGCAAGCAATCACATGTGTGGAAGGAAAGACATGTTCATGGAGCTAGACGAGTCAGTAAGAGGAAATGTTTCGTTTGGTGATGATTCCACAATAGCAGTGAAAGGAAGAGGTAACATCCTTACCCGTTTGAAAGATGGAAGACATCAATTTATTTCAAATGTCTACTATGTGCCCAATATGAAAAGTAACATCTTAAGTTTAGGGCAACTGGTAGAGAAAGGTTATGATATTCATATGACTAATTATAATCTTTCTATAAAATAGGATAATAATAACTTTATTGCTAAAGTGTTGATGTCAAAGAATATAATGTTCTTGATCAACATACAAAATGATGTTGCAAAGTGCCTGATAGCTTGCTACAAAGATGCATCATGGCTTTGGCATCTTCGATTTGGGCATCTCAATTTTGGAGGTCTAGAGCTGTTATCTAAGAAGGAGATGGTGAAGGGACTACCTCACATCAACCATCCTGACCAGCTTTGTGAAGGGTGTCTAGTCGGGAAACAATTCAGGAAAAGCTTTCCAAAAGAGTCAAAGACAAGAGCTAAGAAGCCACTTGAGCTCATCTATACCGATGTGTGTGGACCGATCAAGCCAAGCTCTCTCGGTAACAATAACTATTTTCTTCTCTTCATTGATGATTTTTCAAGAAAAACCTGGGTATATTTCTTGAAAAAGAGGTCAGAAGTTTTTGAAGTCTTCAAGAAGTTCAAAGCAACAGTGGAGAGAGAAAGCGGTAGAAATATCAAAGCCATGAGATCCGATCGAGGTGGAGAATTTACTTCCAGAGAGTTTCAAGAGTTCTGTGAAGCAAATGGAATTTGTCGACCAATGACAATTCCTAGCCAGCAAAATGGTGTGGCAGAAAGAAAGAACAGAATAATCCTCGACATGGAACGAAACATGCTCAAAAGCAAGAAACTACCCAAGGAATTTTGGGCGGAAGCAGTAGAGTGTACAGTCTACTTGTCAAACCGATCTCCAACAAGAAGTGTATGGGGAAAGACACCGCAAGAGGCATGGAGTGGAAGAAAGCCTGACATTTCCCACTTGAGAACCTTTGGAAGTATAGCCCATGTTCACGTACCAGACGAGAGAAGAACGAAGCTTGATGATCAAAGCGAGAGTTTTATCTTCATCGGCTATGATGCTAATTCGAAAGGCTACAAGCTGTACAATCCAGACAATAAGAAGATTATGATTAGTCGAGATGTGGTCTTCAACGAAGAAGGAGAATGAGATTTTAACTCTCATGCAGATGACTTTAATTTCTTTCCTCAGTTTGAAGAAGATAAGCAGACAATGAGGGAATAACTAGGTGAACCTCAACAAGGACCTCAACAAGAGCTTGAAACTCCACCCACTTCACCAACAATAACCACTCAAGGAGACTCATCACCTTCGTCATCGTCAAGTGGGAGTCAAAGTGAAAGAGTTGTGCAACGTATAAGAAGCCTTAGAGATCTCTATGAGGTAACTGAATGACAAGATAATATTACATTATTTTGTTTGTTTGTCGATTGTGAACCAGTGAGCTTTCAAGAAGTACTACAAGAAAAGAAATGGAGAGATGCGATGGATGAAGAAATCAAGGCCATCGAGAAGAATGACACATGATAACTTACCTCACTTCCCAATGGATATAAGGCGATAGGTGTCAAATGGGTGTACAAAACAAAGCAAAATGCCAAAGGAAAGATTGAAAGGCACAAGGCGAGGCTAGTTGCTAAAGGCTATAGTTAAAAGGCTAGAATTGACTATGATGAGGTATTTTCTCCTGTTTCTTTATTGGAGATTATCAGACTAATCATTTCCTTGGCAGCTCAAAATAAGTGGAAGATACATCACATGTATGTAAAGTTTGCCTTCCTAAATGGAGTTCTTGAAGAGGAAGTCTATATTCAGCAACCATCAGGCTATGAAGTCAAAGGGCATGAAGATAAGGTGTTGAAGTTAAAGAAGGCTCTTTATGGGCTCAAACAAGCACCAAGAGCATGGAATAGTCGAATCGACAAGTACTTCCAAGAGAATGGCTTCAATAAATGTCTCTATGAGCACACTCTATATATCAAGATCAAATATGGAGATATTTTGATCGTGTGCCTCTACGTGGATGATTGGATCTTCACCGGAAGCAACCCAAACATGTTTAATGAATTCAAGGATGTGATGATGAAGAAATTCGAGATGACAGACATGGGGCTCATGGCGTACTACCTTGGCATTGAAGTTAAGCAACAAATTGATAGAATTTTTATTTCACAGGAAAGCTATGCAAAGGAGATACTGAAGAAGTTCAAGATGGAGAACTGTAAGCAAATAAGCACACCGACAGAATACGGGATCAAGATGTCCAAACATGAAGAAGGCGAAAGTGTAGATCCAATATTCTTCAAAAGTTTGGTGGGAAGTCTACGCTATCTAACTTGCACGAGGCCCGATATTCTTCACGCAGTTGGATTGGTTAGTCGCTACATGGAATCTCCAACAACCACCCATTTTAAAGCTGCAAAGAGAATTCTTCGCTATCTGAAAGGTACAATTGACTTCAGCTTGTTCTATTCAGTTTCTAATGATTACAAGCTTGTTGGATTAGCGACAGTGATTGGGGTGGAGACATAGATAATCAAAGGAGAACTACTGGATTCGTATTTTTCATGGGAGATACTACTTTCACATGGATGTCAAAGAAACAACCGATTGTCACATTGTCCACTTGTGAAGCGGAATATGTTGTTGCTACATCATGCGTTTGTCATGCAATTTGGCTTAGAAATCTATTGAAGGAGATAGGTTTGATACAAGAAGAGCCTACCAAGGTTTGTGTGGACAACAAGTCAGCCATTGCCTTAGCAAAGAATCCAGTATTCCATGATCGAAGTAAACACATCGATATTCGCTACCACTATATAAGGGAGTGTGTTGCAAGAAAGGATGTGGAAGTTGAATACACGAAGTCACAATATCAAGTTGTCGATATTTTTACCAAGCCACTGACAAGCGAAGACTTCATAAGATTAAGGAACTTACTAGGGGTCACAAGATCAAGTTTAAGGGGGGGTGTTGGATCATAAACATGATCCATTATGGGAGCCTAAGCCCAAACCCAAACTAAATTGATGTCATTGCTTACATCAATTTAGTTAGGTGAGAGTTAGGTATTTGTAGACTTTAATGGTTTAAATTATTTTATTTGTGTGGTGTAGGATTGTTCTTAAGTAGTATAAATACCCCTCCCCATTGTAGTTTAAGAATGAAGAAAAATTAAGAGCTTCTAAGTGAGTGACGAAGCAAAGTTTTATAAGAGTGAGTTGTAGTTCTTGTTTTTGAGTGAGAGTGCTCTTGTAATATTTGTTTGAGTTTCAATAAAAGTTGTTTGTGTGAGTGTTTTATTTCCAACAAATAGATCGTGTTTTAGTTGTATTAAAGTTAATTGTTAATGTTTCATCGCTGTTATATTTTTTTAGGTTAATGTCGATGGTATATTATGTTTCAGTCATATTTGTTCGTATTTTAACTTTTTCGAATTATTTGGTTAAGTTTTTTAATCCCTATCTCGGATGATCATACTTTTTATTATTTAATAATTCTTGTAATTATTTTGTTTATTCATTGATGAGATAATTAATTTTCTGACATCCCAGCCTTTGGTATCTGAGAAGATAATAGTGGCACATCTAAAGGACAAGTAGCTGATCCATGCTTATTTTCTCACTATAAACTACAATCACAAACAGCTTGACAGAAAGTTGAATCTTAAATGTGCATTGCTCAACATTAAATGAAAAACAACTTGTGCAAGTAAGGAAATTGCGAAGGGCACTTTTTATGCTCGAGTGAATGGAGGGCAGCAGTAGAATGGATTGCAGGCTGCAGACATTAACACCATAGCAGTAAACGCCAATGAAAAGAACCAGCTGGGAACCACCCACACCCCAAACAAGACGATGGCCATGAAAATAAATTCTCTGGTCATTAATGAGCAACTTGAGAAAAAGCCAACACATAAAGGTAATGCTAATTCGTATATCTATATCATGTTCGTGTTATATACAGTAAAGGTAATACCAAGCTTAATGGATGAGGGCATAAACTAGAGAGCATAGCCCGATACTCCATATGAAAGCACCCCTCCAAGTCACATTCTCCATTGTAGGATCGGACGATGCGCTCAACACTTTGTGTGGGACGTTAGCCAATGTATTTATTGTACATGACATTGGCTGTAATGAGGTTGTTACCGATGATCAAAATAAAACAAATCGAAAATAAAGAGAAGGCACACATCTCCATAAATTGTTTATTTATTTAGTATCTTGCATAAAATAAAATTAAAAAAAACTACTTAATAAGCTAACTAGTAACATATATGCTGCTAATTGATCTCCAGGCGGAGTTCCTTCTCAGACTTCTACGCTCCTGTTTCCGGGAGGAGTTCTATAATATGCTGGCACAGTAAGAGGGAAGAACATTTGTCTCACTCCTTCGTACCATATAAATGGCAAAAGAATACTTGATGCAACCTGAGACACAACAAACACAGACAAGGTAATGGTAAAATCCGTATATTTACATCATGTTCTAGTTGAATAAGAACTTGGTAGCAGAGTTACCGACCCAAAGGAGTTTAGCCCCATTCCACAAGCGTTTCGGAGAAGGAAACGGAAGTAACAATTGGTCGACGCCGTATACCGACATGGCGAATAAATGAAATGCCAAGCTTAATGGACTAGGGCATAGACAGGAGAACAAAGCCGATAGTCCGGTTGTAAATATACCTCCGAGTCTCAAGTACCCGAAACATGCATGTTGTATGTCCTCCATTACAGGACTAGATGGGGCACTGTTGAGTTAATCGATTGATGAATATAGCCAAGAGGGGGGTGAATTGACAATTAAAATTTTGGTGGAAGCTTTTGTAGAAAATTGAAAGAAATTTGCACAGCGATTTAGAGTGGTTCGACTTTCTCAACCAAAGTCTACGTCCACTACCTTAGCTATCCACACTAAGGATTTTCCACAAATTCACTAATTTGTCTTTCTTTTGAGGACAAAGAGTAACCTTACAAACCCTCAAGAATTATACCCCAAATTCTTGAGAACACTCTCTCCCAAAGAGAACAATACAAATTTGTAAACTTACAAGGAAATCCTCACAAGGTAGATTGTTTGCACAATTCTAGAACAAAGAAAAGAACACTCAAGAATGAATACAATTGAGCACAATAAGTGTTCTTGAAAGCAAGATGAATATTGAATGAAAAATAGGCTTGAAATGCTCAAACTTGAGGTTTGATGCTTTCTCTTTGATTCTCTCTTGATTCTAGTTGCTTGATATTTCTTGTTATTGATCAATGGCTTCTAAGCTTGCTTAAATATACCTTGAATCACTTCTGAACGTTGGGGATCATTAATGAAGTTTTTGGAGCCGTTTAAGTGTGAAAACAATTAATATTTCTACTTAGAGCGTGGGGGGAATCGGTACCCCTAATGGGGAATCAGTTCTCTAAGTGTAAAATTCAAATATTTTGACCGTTGAACAGTGGGGGGGGAATCGGTTCCCTCCGAGCTACTGGAATTCTCGGAGCCAAACCATTCAGGGGGGAATTGGTACCCCTTGGGGGGGAATCGGTTCCCTTTGAGCAATCTGGAATTTTTGGCTTTGAAATGGTTCGAAATATTTTGTAAAAACATTTTGAAATTATTTTAAGATTAAAACTTAATTTTACACTCGAGTAAGGATTTAAAATGAACTTTGAAATACTTTGAGTAATATTTTGATATTCGATTTAATATATCGAATATGTTTAGAAAAATTATTTTCAAAATTAAATTTATTTTAATTTAATTTGTTATATCGAAACATCAAAATGTTTTCAACAATCTCCCCTTTTGATATAACAAAACATTTTAATATTTTCTAATTTCAAAATGAATTTTGATTTTGAAAATACTACTCCCCTTACTTTAACACTACTCCTCTTAACAATACTCCTCTTTAAAACGCTTTTAACATTTCTCCCCCTTTTTGTTAAATCAAAAAGATTCGGAAAAGATTTTAAACAAGGATTTAAAAACATTTAGCCAATTGATTATATATATAGTTTAAGCTACTAAGATCATAATCAAGAGAAACGTTAGCCATTAGTTTCATATTTCAATATTCATAAATAATGTGAAATGACAAAAATTGGTCATAATGCAACTAATATGTAAATGATGCAAAAATAAACATTAAGCTCAAAATGAAAGTTAAAACCAAACCAAATATATAAGCATGTAAGTTCAAATATCCAATTATCCATCAAATTCAAACATCCAAAATAAAACAATCCATGAACATCAAAATGTTTTACAATTCAAAGTTTTGAGTTCGGGATGATAAATCCATTGGCCCGTTTCCTTATCCTTTTTCCATCTTGCTTTCTTCAAGGAAGTAAGATTGATTTGGTTTTGAAGAGGGATAGGAATATCATAAGAGACCCTAAGACCGAGTTTGATAAACAATTTACTAAGGTGATAACCATAAACCAAGGTTTCTATATTCTTGGAAGGAATAGTGTTTATGGAAACTCACTAAAGATGATCTGTGGCAGATAAATCTTCTTTTTATGTTAGATACAGTATATCCACCATATATCTATGTTCCTAAGGGTGCAGTACCTAACTCCGGATGGTCTAAACCACCAAGAGATCATATAATGAAGGAATCTATCATGATAAGTTCTTAGGGTACTCTCACTATCCTTAGACTTATAGGGTGAATCCACAGTCTCTTTTTCATTAAACCTGAGTTATCTAGTCCAAAATGGGTAGCGATTTGGAATAGAAAAATGTGGATTAATTGATGATAAACCAAAAGTTTGAGTTTAAAGTGTTTATCAAACTTCTAGGATTTAAGAGTAGGAAGATATTGGAAGTCCATATCTTTTATAGCTTGAATCGAATGTATACGTTCTTCCCGGATTTTGTATGAATCAAAACAAGTATGGTACCTATGATATAGATTTTGTCTACGACTAGGTACGTTAAACAAGAGTTCAGAATGGTCATATTTGGGTTATTTGGATTGGGTGGAGGAATAAGAGGTCGGTTTTGACTTGAGCGACTAGACAATGTCTTAGGTCGTTTAGGATTTGACATGGTTTAAGAATCGGAATAGAATATGTAACTTGTAAATTTAAACACATGTATGCAATATAATCAAACCCAAAACTCAAATGAGTACTCAATATTTCAAGGTTCTCTAAACCAATCCTAATGGGCAAAGTTTTTTTGAAAACTATTGAAAAAATAAGGTTTTGAAAAACAATATATGTATAGTTTTCATAACAACAACATAATTCAATCAAAACACAATAATTTGAAAAACATTTTTTTTTTCAAAATTTTCAAAACTTTTGGAAAATTCTTGTGTTTTTGATGAAATTAGTTGTAATATCTAGTTTCTAATAACTAAACAATCAATGCCCGATCACTATTTCTATCTAGAACTAATTAAAACTAGTCCTATGTTCAAAATCAATGAAATAGAGAATTTTGAAGAAAAAAATTACCTTGAAATATGAGATTGAGTGGATTTTGATGTTGTTTGCATGATTTTAATGATGCTAGCAGGTTTAGAAGATGATATTTGAAGAGAATTTCGATTAAAAACATTGTTTTGAGGCAAAGTGGAGATTTGAGAGAGTAGAGGGGAGAAACGACGTAAAGAGAATAGAGGATTTGAGGCAAAAACAAGCGTTCTGCCCGATAAAACCAAAACCCCAGGGGGTATCGATTCCCCTAGGGGGAATCGGTTCCCATTCAAAGGGGGAATTGGTTCCCTCATGAGGGTATCGATCCCCTCTGCACCAAAATGCTACAATCCGATTTTAGACACACAAAATGCTAAATTAACTTTCTCTAGTGGTATTGGCAACTCATATATTGAAAATTAATCATGTTCAAACAATCAAATTAATCTTTAAACTATATTTAAACATAAAGTTAATTTTCATCAAGAATCATAAACTCCCCCTAACTAATAGCAATGAATGCAATCAAAAATTACTATTCTAAGCATTTTTCATTTAGTCTTAAAATTGCTAAAATTATTTTAAACTCTAAGTGAAGATAGGTTGGTTAAACCTAATTCTCTCCTAAGTGTTCAAAATCTTTCATTGTCTAAAGGTTTTGTAAAGATATCTGTTAATTGGGGCAAAGTATCAACAAATTCTAGAATTACATCTTCCTTAGTGACATGGTCTCTAATGAAGTGATGTCTTATTTCAATGTGCTTTGTTCTAGAGTGCTGGATGGGATTTTTAGTGAGACAAATAGAACTAGTGTTGTCACACTTGATAGGAATGGTACCTACTTCAATTCCATAATCAAAAAGTTGTTGTTTCATCCATAAAACTTGTGCACAACAACTACCAGCTGAAATGTATTCGTCTTCAGTGGTAGATAATGCAACACAATTTTGTTTCTTTGAAAAATAAGAAATCAGCATATATCCAAGGAATTGACAAGTACCGGAGGTGCTTTTCCTATCTAATTTGCATCCTCCATAATCCGCATCAGAAAAGGCATGCAAGCTAAAGCTAGAGTCTCTAGGATACCAAAGTCCTAAACTAGGAGTGTCCTTAAGCTATCTAAAGATTCTCTTAACAGCTAGTAAATGTGATTCCTTAGGGCATGATTGAATTCTAGCACATAAGCAAACACTAAACATAATGTTAGGTCTACTTGTAGTTAGATAAAGTAAAGATCCAATCATTGACCTATATAATTTAACATCCACACATTTACCTCCTTCATCCATATCAAGCTTTGTAGAAGAGCTCATTGGAGTGTCATGAGGTTTCCCATTTTCCAGTCCAAACTTCTTGAGCATATCTTTGACGTACTTAGCTTGATTGATGAAGATGCCATCTTTTATTTGCTTGATTTGGAGTCCCAAGAAAAATGAGAGCTCCCCCATCATGCTCATTTCAAATTCGCTTTGCATTAGCTTAGAAAATTCTTGGCAAAGAACATCATTAGTAGAACCAAAAATTATATCATCAACATAAATTTGAACTACTAATAAATCTTTACCTTTATGCTTTAAAAACAATGTAGTGTCAACCTTCCCTTTTGAAAAACCTTTTTCTATTAAAAAATTTGACAGTCTTTCATACCAAGCTCTAGAAGCTTGTTTTAAACTATAAAGTGCTTTTGTCAATTTAAGAACATGATCCGGAAATTTTGAATCTTCAAAACCTGGAGGTTGTTCCACATACACTTCTTCTTTTATAAAACCATTTAAAAATGCACTTTTAACATCCATTTGATATAGTTTAAATTCATGAAAACATGCAAATGCTAATAACATTCTAATTGCTTCCATCCTAGCTACGGGAGCGTATGTTTCATCATAGTCTATGCCCTCTTCTTGAGTATACCCTTGAGTAACAAGTCTAGCCTTATTTCTCACTATATTACCACTCTCATCAAGCTTATTCCTAAATACCCATCTAGTACCTACAATAGATTTATTACTAGGCCTTTCAACTAATGTCCATACTTTACTTCTCTCAAATTGATTTAATTCTTCTTGCATAGCCATAATCCAATGTTCATCTTTTAATGATTCTTTAATATTCTTAGGCTCAATGCATGAAATAAATGCAACATAATTACAAATATTTCTAAGAGAAGATCGAGTTGTTACCCCTTTGGATGGATCACCTATAATCTCACCATCCTTGACATAGTTGTACTCTCTTGGATAAGATACTTCCCTTTCTTCAATGGTTGGATTCTCAAGAGGATCATGAGTTACCTCATCTTTTGTTTCTTCCTTTGATGATGGTT